TTTTTTTTTTTTTTTTTTTTTTTTTGGTTTAAAATTTAATTCGGTACCGTTTTTAAATTTCAGCTGTAATTTACGGAAGGTTGTTGTTGAAGATATGGATTTGTTTAACCACCACTGACTGAACACAGATTTAATGGTTAATTATAGTGTTAGTAAGTTGTTTTCTGTTTTTTTCTATTTTAATTAACAGGTCAAAAAAAAAAAACCGGGCCAACCAGTAAAATAAGTGCAGTAATAAGTGCTATAAAACTGGTCACTATTTTCAAAATGATTATTGCTTTAAAAAAGCACACACAAATACAAAAGGAGCGAATTTCAGAGAGAGGGAGGAAATCTTACCAGACAAATTGGAACTGCTGTATTGCCAATGCGTATCGATGTTGGCCGAAGCCGGAACTGCAAAATACAATGTTTGGTATCGTTATCGCTATGCTGTACAACAGCATCGTGAATCATGATAGTCTGCAGTGTTTCGGAATCATGATTGAAATTAGCGGCTTTTGTTGTTTCACTTAGATTTGTCAGATGTTGATGCATACTGCTACTGGCAGTAAAATTTCGAATGAACAGTTCACAGAATCTGTCACAGTCCTTACTTCGAACAATGTTCACACCAAATATATCGTTATTAGACCTCCAGTAGGCAAAACATGGTGATACACGTTTCACTTCTCGAGCTTAAACATTCAAATTATCTTTGAAAATACCACGAAACGTTATGCTATATCAAAAATTATTTATTTGTTTCTTTTTCTTTTCTTTGGTCTTTAGAAAGCGACAAATGCATGGATATTTTTAAAAAGACAGACCAAGAACAAAAATAAAAACAGCAACAACAACAATAAGGATAACAAATAACCCATTACCATTATAATATTATTTACCTAAAAAAAAAGACAAATCTTAGGTCTTTATTGCTCTTTAGCCATAATTCCTTCCTCTCCCCACCAAGAAAAAAAAACAATACTATCGCTTAAAAACAACTCATTCAACAATAAAGTTCAAAGAGAAGAAAAAAAATGGAGGAAAAAGAGACAAAGCATTTAGTAGTCCTAACCTATAGCCTCAAATTTTTTGGCTAAAACGATAAAAATGAAAGATAAGCAATTGCTGAAAAAAAAAACCATTTAGCTTATCTAGTTTTTTCCCTTTTCGTTTAATCATCTTTGTTCAACAAACGAATACTGAAACAAAGAAATACGTATAGATATTTAAAAGATAATATAAAATTATATTACGTAGATCGATAACTTGATGAAAAACGAGATGTGAACGAGATGAAGCAAACAGCAATATGCTTGGACGATTTGTGGACAGCTCAAATATGGACACCGATAGGAGCCGTGGATAGAGCAGAATCCATTGCGAACAGTCCGAAGACAGTTGAAAGAGTTCAGCGTTGAATCTGATTAAAATAAACTATTTAAATGAGTTTAAGATGATGAGTCAAAAATAGAAGCTTTTGATCAGAAAAAAAAAAAGAAGAAGATCTAGAACTGAAAAGTAAGCTGTTCTAAAGCAAACATTCTGATGAACTGTGTGAAGTGTATGTGTTTGTTCGTTTGAGTATTTGTGGGGGATACGTATCTTAATTTAACTGTTTTGTTTCTTTAAAAATTTTTTTCAACTCTTTTCACTCAAATAATATACTCAATGATTAATACTTTGGAAATAAAAAAGAGATTACTGAGATTGTTGAGGACTGTAGTTAATACTGGTAGAAAAAAAAAACGAATAACAAACCATTGATTGCCTGTTTTGATGCCGTTGAAAAAAAAGTTGAATGCCAATAAATGGGTTAT